TCTATCTATCTATCTATCTATCTATCTATCTATCTATCTATCTATCTCAAGAGAAAATTTCTCTATCTATCATCTAGAGAAAAGTTCCCAAACAGGCTTCAAAACTGCTTTATGGTAAATAATCAAATTGATTTTCTGTTCCTCCTTTCTCTACTTTCTGAGTTCTGGGATAATAAGTGTGTGCCATATATTGTTTTGGTGTGGTGCTTGTGATCAAATTTAGGATGTTGTATACATTAGGCAAGTACTGTAACAACTGAACAACATATCAATACCTGTCTAACCCACATTTTGTTAGGCAAATGTTTCAAGTTAGATGGTGTTTCTGCTTTTGTGGGACCAATTCGATAACATCAGGGATCCTCAGTGATTTGCTACAAATAATCAGACCAGGACATGTTTATATACGTATTCTGACTGACCAAACACTCTTTAAACTGTGTAGTAGGCCATTTCTTTTTTGTTGTGGGGTTTGTTAAAAAAGCAGGCAGGGCAGATATGATGAGGTTCCTAAATTAGAGTTCAGTTTTTATTATAATTCATCTTTATCAGCATTGTTCCCATTATCAGAGGAAGAACATGTTTAACAGTTTCATTCACTATGTAAGGTGAAGTTGATTCAACAGAAATTAAAATACACCTCTATCTTTAAATATCAGAATTTTCAAGCAAGCAGACAGATAGACAGCCAGAAAGAAAGAGAGAGAGAGAGAGAGAGAGAGAGAGAGAGAGAGAGAGAGATCACAACAGGGGGTAAATTACAGTATTAAGTGTTTGAAGCCTATAGAAACTCTTCCACATTGAAAATGTCAACAGTTGAATCAAGAATAAGGGCATAGAGAGGGCCATGTGTGCCCCCTGGATATTATTTCACTTGACTGACTGTTTCTTAGATCATTGATGAACTGATGCCAGCAGTTGCAGTAATAGCCCATCAGGCATCCTTTCTTTATAGATTTAAGAAGAGTTCAAACTGAGTTTTTACATAGAGATAGGTTGGGGTAACCATCTCTGGTTTAATCAACTTTTCTAATAGATTGTACTCAATGAAGGCTCAGCATCCTTCCATTTTGGCTAGCACTGTTAAATATCCTGTGTTAGAGAGGACCCACAGCACTTTTCTTCTTCTTTTTTGTTTTTGTCAACTGACTAAGTGCTAAGAACTTTAGTAATTTCTATATTCACAACCAAGCCCATCATGGGATGTGACAGGAAGTAGTTTATATGTAAGACTATGAATAGTCTCATGGAAGATAGGCCATTCATTTTTTTTCTAGTTTTACATTTGGTGACATTGAAAGGCAGAGATGGTACCACTTAAATATAGTGACATATTCTGATGTCATAGACTTTTACTCTAATATGCCTTAATGCAATTAATAATGTTTCTACCTGTCAAATTCCCCTTATATTAATGCTAATTTCGAGACACAAAATTTAATGAAAGTCCTTTGCAGTTTTCTCTAAAAATCTTTGTGTATGTTCTTGTACAACACTTGATCCACACTCAATTCTTTCTTTTCATTGTTGCTTGACTTTCCTTGGCAATGATGTTTGTCTTTCTAAACTTCTCATATTAACTACATCCCCCAGAGAGACATAACCAGAATCTTCAAAGAAAATGGCAAATTTGAAAGGTCCAAGTCTAAAATAAAGTTTGATGTGAACCATCCACTGTGTTTTCATGATACTGTGGCTGCTTCTTCATGCAACACCTTTAATAGCATTTTTAGCTGTAGACATGGAATCACTAGGGACAGAAAGGGCATTTTCTAGGATCCTCTGTGACTGCTATCGGTGTTGCATGGGCATAAGCATTCAATTATATCTAGTCATCTGGATATATTTTGTACGGGTTATCCATACCAACACTTTTTACTATGCACACCACTGCCCTACACACATACAAGTCAGAGTCCTTCTGCTGAGGAGAGTCAGCCATATTTTGTCCTGGAATCTATAATCATGAATGAGTCCCAGTGTCGGGATGAGTCTGAGATCCAATGTAGGGTTGGGCTGTATCACATGATGCAGGAACACTGAAAAGGAAGTTCTAATCCTATAGTCTCTCATCAAATAATAATTATTGAAATTCTCCAGGTAAGTTCATGTGAGGATTCTGTTTTTGGCCTAGATCTCTTGACTTAAAATTCTTATCAAGAACATGAGAGGATGGGTTGAACTTTGGGTTTTTTTTCTGGTAAAATGAGAGATATTGCTTGAAATTTCAGGAGTCAAACTTCAAAAGTGAAATCAGATTATTCATTACATATGAGTGCTTAGATAACCAGTTCAAGCATGGTGGATTCTTCCTTCCTTCCTTCCTTCCTTCCTTCCTTCCTTCCTTCCTTCCTT